TTTTTTTTTTAAGAAAAGATATAGTAAAATCAACCCCTTTTTAAGGTTTGATTTATGTGTTACAATAAAGAATGTAATAAGTGTGATATTTTTATAAATGCCCGTGGATATGAGATATTATAAAAGATATGCATTTTATAATATTCTTGAATGCATGTATATGTATATCTATGAATATTTTCCGTGGATTTGATCTTTGCTATCAATACTTCAAAACCAACTTAATTATAAGTATGTGCTTCACAATATAAAATAAACTTAGTCATAACATAAGTATGCACATATTTATTTAAAAATAAAAATAAATCTATTCGTCTAACCATTAGTCAGTCTCGTAGGTTAAACTACTAGAAATCAGTACATTAGTAACCAAAATTTGTAACAAATTGTTAGTTGTTACAGTAGTAACAATGAATTAGTAACAAAAATATGTATGTACGGGTAAGTTTAACCATCAAGCAAATCGGTTCATTAATCGTCATACAATTTTTTTTTTTGGTATAGCAAAAATGCTTATTTTTGTTATACAGTGACGTAATTTTATTTATGTTGTCTTTTAGAATATATCATCTTAATTTATATATGTATGCTATACTATTGAAAAAAAAAAAGCTTAAAAAAAGCTTTTAATAGACGTCCTTAAGTTTTTTATCGTTAAATCAATACACACTTATACATATTCACAAAGATGTATGTTGATTCAATGTAAAACACATACATTAATGTAGCTTGAATGGCACCCATATATCCCTTTACTAAATATCACACAAGACAATAGTATTAGTTTGCATTGAGACTAATGGCAGTTCATATACTTGTCTTGCAGGGCAATATGTGTGGATGAAGTAATTAGTTACAATATTAGTTCCTTTATCATTTAATAATTTACACTACAACATTATTCCATGTAGCAACTAGCAAAACCATTGATACTCTTCAATTTAATAAAAATAAATAATACTGCCTCCTATTCTTTTTAAATGTCATTTTGGTCTTATCATCTATTAACAAAAAAAATGTCGTTTTGGATATTTTGTACATATTTTTCCATTATTACCCTCATTTAGCTAATAAATACACTACGTCTTTTCATATTTACTCTTCATCTTTTTTCAAAACATTCATCTATATCCTAATTAATGAAGGTTATTGTTGTCAAAAAAAAAATATTCTTAATAACTGTGCAACTTTTTTAAACGACACTTATAATGAACAGGAGTGAGTAGTATTTTGGTGAAAAGGTAGTAATAAATTGATTACGGATATAAAATGAAGTGATTTAATTAGATATATGCATGCTTGTATGAATGTGAGATGAAAATGCAATAATTGTGTCATAATATTTTTTTTTGAAAAACTATATATATTCCATTGATAATTTATATTTGAAGAGAAAATTGAAATGTAGATATGAATATTGTAATGAAAGTAAATTAATTGTGTAATTAACTCAACAATTCTTAGAAATATA